TTATTAGTACATTTAACAAGATTACTTTATTTACAATATCTATATACATAAGTATACAAATTCATATGTACTATAATGCATTTTCATATAGCACATCGATTCTTTGTTACTGTTATATAGCTTTCTGTTCAATATCTGTTAATGATGTACTCGAATGAATACTATTCTCTCGTATAGCTTCAGAACTTTTGTCGCTGACACTGCATGTACTTTCGTTTAAAGAATCTTGACTGAAGCAGATATCTCCAGTTTCTAATTCTATCAAACTGTTGACTTTTGATATTTGACTAAAACTTGTATTTGTCTCAAAGGAAATATCTTCAGAACATTCATTTCTACTCTCTTGACTGCACAGTGAATCGTCCAAGTTCGTATCCTTTGAAAATTGGCTCTCAGATTTATCTAACAAATCAGTATCAACCAGTTTTGAACTAGACAGAGATTTACTCTCAGATCCTTCATCTTTTCTTCTTATATCTTTTGAGTCATCAAATTTTTTGATTAAATCTCTCCAGGGATCTTCCAAAAAGGAATTTACATCTACATATGCCGATATATTCACTTGCCTGTACGCTCCTTTGTAGTCCTAAAAAAAGACAAAACAAAGTAAAGTAACTTGTAGTTTTTACAATTAAATTCTCATTAAATCCTCAAGTACAATATAGAACTTAGAAGAATCTTTATCTTTCAACACTCAAGTCTCCTTAGTCAAGTCGTTTACCTTTCTTATCTGCCCTTGAAACTGTTTAGGAGAATGCTTGTAGGCAGGATTTCTCTTGTTCGATCTTGGCATGGCGTGATAATTACCCCTATAATTGTTATACCATCCACTGCTTGGACTACCGCGTCCACCGGAAGGGCTGTACCGATTAGCTGTATTATACTTGTTGTATCGCGTCAGTGGTGTGCTGACGTTCAGAGGGATAAAATCGATGTCGTGGGACTGCGATTCTGTATTACTTGCGTGGAAACGCGGAATGCTATTACCCTCCACAGGCTGATAACCTCTACCGCATGTATTCTCGTGCGACTTCCAATTGTATGGCGTGTGCCTGGCACCGTACGACCGGCTACCATACGCAGGATTGTTCAACGGTGATCTCCTCATTTTTCCAGAAAAACAAACGCAAATTAATCCCACGATATTACGATACACCCACGTTCACGATGGCTCACGGGTTTCACCACACAATGGATTAATACGACATATATATGTATGTAAAATGTAAACGTAAATAAAATACATTCACATTGAAAAGTCAAGCTCTCCTCTCTCTCTCTCTCTCTCTCTCTCTCTCTTTCTCTTGCGCATGCGCAATGTTGTGACAATGGGCGAGTTCAAATGCTTGTTGAAAGAATGAACATGATTAGTTCTTACCTGAGGATCCAACCAATCATGTTTAATTGCTTGGCGAGTAGCTAGCCTCTTTGTCTAGGGAAATACTACAGTGTATATCTCGTGTACTATAATCAGAAGCATATAAGAGGTTTGTCGCATCGCATACTTCAACACACTCCACATGCTTCAACATGTTCCTACTATAGCTCCAAGTCATTCTACGAGCGCGTGAGTAGGAACTATAGTTGGAGAAAGTAAGAGCATGATGGAACATGTGACGTGAAATGAGAGGCTCCGCATAATAAAAGAAACAGGGAATAAGAATTTCAACCTATCAGAAACTGTGTATTCCACAATACATGATTTCTGATAGGTTAAAATTCTTAGGAATTCCACACAAGGAACAAGGAACAGAGAACAAAGAATAAGAATATTGCACATGCTATGGCGATAGCAATAGTGGAAACAACCAATCAAATTTTAATCTCCATGCACTTTCCTATAATAGCACTGACATATTGGAATAGCCAATCAAATTTTGGTCTCAATTCACTTTCTTACTGCGCATCCTCGGAAATGATACACCTGAGGATCATTATGGATTTTGAAAGAAGATGAAAATTACAAAAACGAGCAAATTTATTAGGTGTTGACCAATAAAATAATCAGTATTCTAGTAAATACGCTCACTTTTATAATTTTCAAGATACAGAATCGATTCCCTGTCTTCTTACATAAGGGGATCAATTACTAATAATTTCATTGGCCAGCATCTAGTAAATTTGCTCACTTTTGTAATTCCACCTTGGGATTCAATTCTGTATCTTAAAACGAGGTGAAAATTATAAAAGTAAAAGAATTTACTAGAATACTGATAATTTCATTGATCAACATCTAGTAAATATAATTTTCCTTGTTTGAAGATACAGAATCGATCCCGAGGTGAAAATTACAAAAGTGAGCAATGATTACTAGATATTGACCAATTAAATTATGAATATTTTAGTGAATTTGTTCATTTTATAATTTTCAATTTTCATCTCATTTCAAGATACAGAATCGATCCCCAGAGGTTTCTCTACTATTTTCCTAGTTTTTCGTATACGTTTCTTTTCAAGGCTACGTTCTAAAACTTCCTTTCTGAGAAAGATTTTACTCTGTATGCTATAGTATACGTTACGTGTACTATATATTTCGAGTAAATTTTCCTCATAGAGGAAGTTTTGAAACGTAACGTTCCAAGAATAGGAACCTTGGATCATCTTTAATAGCCTCTTCGATGCTAATGGTAAAATCTCATAAGATATTTCGCTATATAATGAAAATAAAAATCACGTGGAACCGGAAACGAGGAAAATCCGACAGGATCCAAGAACGAGGCGTATCGCACGGTTGGCAACATTGCTTCGCACAACGAACGTTGACGAACGGTCACGGCTCACGTTAGAGTATCGGCGTCGTCACTCGGTTGCTTTGTATCATTCGGTCAATTTTTTTTTTAACGTGTGAGTTACGATCTGTCGTGATACGGATTCAGTGATCAAGGCTCGTGTGATAACGCTCACGTCGCTCACGTGTACGAGAATCACTCGTACGTCGGTTTAACTGTCGATTTCAGTTTCTTCGTTTTTGCGTTTTTCCCCACCCCTCTCCGGTTTATCGATGGACACGTCTGTCGGTTATCACGCTACTACGGAGACGTCGGCGGCTGGAACGGTAATATCTCATTCCGTATCTCCTTTTCACTTTCCCCATCTCCCGCTTTCTACAGTACAACTGATATGATCACGTTTCTCTCATATTCTTGGTTCTATGAATGCTCGAAGAATCAATAAATTGAACGATCAGCGTCATGGGCAAAGCGAGTGATCGAGGATCGTTCTTACGATAAACGACGATTGGTAGAACTTTTCTTGAAGTGGACTCGACTTCGACCGCCATTTCGCTCATCTGCCTCTCCTTCCATTTCTTCACCGCATTATGACTTGCGATTCGTCTTTTTTGCCTGTTTACTCCCGATATCAGCGAAGCGTCATAGCTATGCGAAAGTAGCTATGAAAAAAAAGAAAAAAAAGTTAATGATTCGGAGTATCGAAATTCAGAGTATCAAGGTGGGAGAGGCAGAAGGGAAAACCCGGCCGCGTATTTTAGGCGGGATCATCTATCGCACGCGTGATGTATCTTACTTTCTGCGATGAATATGAAACTGATATACATACAATTGGAAAGAGGAAGGATGAAAAATATGAAAGATTTATCTAGAATGAATGAGAGTCAAGAATTCTCAAAGGTCTTCGGTCCTTGACGATTATTGGTCTTCTATAGGTAAAAGTAATCGCCATAAAGATGATCATAAGGCGCATTTAGGAAGTCGATCTTGAAAAGAGAGATGAATATTATCTCGAAAATTACAGAAGTAAAAATTCAGGCGTGGATCAGTGAAATTATAATATTCTAGTAATTTGCTCATTTTTGTAATTTTTATTTTGTTCCAAGATACACAGGTGTTCCATTTGGTGATATAAGTCCACGCATTATTGTTCAATCTTTGTTACTCTCTGAGGTCCAGGTTTACAACTCATGATTAACTCTTAACTAAGATTCATTTGTTTCTTATCTCTTTCCAATTCCAAAGAATTGGAAAGAGACAATGAATAAGTTGAACCTCGGTTAAGATTTAACAGTAAGTTGTGGAACTAAGCCTTAATGGTAAAAAAGATAGAATAATTGTGTCGACTTGTATCATTAAGACCCATTTTCATAACTCGTGATAAGCTCTTAATCAAGATTCAATCTATTCCTCATCTCTTTAGTTCCATTCCTCATTTCTTTTCAATTGTTGAAACAAATAAAGAGAGTAAGAATACATAGCTGGATCTAAATGGAAAGTACAATTGATCTCCAGATTCCTATTGCCTGCTTTCTAAAGTATATGTTAGTCTTAGATCTTTTCTTTTTATGCTTGTTTCTATCACAATGTAATTTAATTTTATTCTTTGTTCAATTGATTCATCTTTTTCTAATTCTAAGAATTAGGGTCAATCTTAAGGCCAATTTTAGAATTGGAAAGAGATGAAAAATAAGTTAAACTTTGGTTAAGAGTTAACTGTAAATTATGAAATTGAGTCTAAAAGTGCTAATGTTTTACTTAAGAACTAAGCGAAGAAATTACTATAATAAAAACGAAAAAAAGTGACGAAAAATAAAATATTTTATCAAAATAAAGGATGTACAATCTTGGCCAAAAATATTATAGGCACCATATGAATTATTATTTTAAGTTGTGACTCATAGATTTGTGATATTTTTTGTAAATTATCCTTTGTTTAAAGAATCTTTTAAACTTATGTGTAATGCTGGTAACCAATAGATAATGCATGTAAAAGAATTTTAAATAAATGAGAAAAATATAAATTCCTATAAAATATTTTTAGCCAAATTAATTATTAAAAAATCAAAAAATTTCAGAATCGTATCTTTTTATACAAGAAATATAATATTAATCTAAAAAATTGAAATGATTAATAACTGCTCGGTACTTCCAGGATTAATTTTGACGCGCAACAAGTTTATTCTCCGGATCAAATTGTTGGAATAAAACCTTTCACGTTTCTTGCAATTTACTTCCTCCAGTCCAGTTTTTTGTATGTCGGTTTTTTGCATCTGCTTTATATATCCTGCATTTAAGGTGAATAAGGTGAAGAAATATATAATTAGATGTTGAAGAGAGAGGAAAAAGAGAAAAGATGAATAATATAAAAAGCACTTTGTACTTTTATTTTATGTATTTTTTTGTACTTTTCTCCTCCCCCTCCTCTTTCTTTCTCCAACGTTCTAATTATATGTTTATTTTAAATATAAAAAATATGAGTAAAGTTATAAAAAACAGATCTTTTATATTTCCTAGCTGTCTATTTTTTGTGTTTAAATTTAATATAACGGAAATATTTTTATTTTTATGTAATTTCAATGCATTAATATTGACAAGACACCTATTATTATTGTTATGCAAAAAGTGAAGCAAAAATAATAGATAAATTATTATTCTAAATAATTCTTTTATTATTTGTACCTGAATTATGCCATAATTGCCTGAAAGAATTATTGACATAAACGAATTATTAACATCATACATCAGAATTTTTTAATCTAAAACAAGTTATAAAAAATAAAATGTAAAAATTGTATATACGTATTCATTAACCAATTGAACATTTTGTTTCAGATGGTGTCATCTAATCAGCCGGTAAGAGCATATGAATAACTATATATTTTTTCTAATTAATAACAACTCTGACAAAAGAATATCTTATTGAAGAACAAAAATTAGAATTTAAAAATCTTTATTTATTTTGCTACATGATAACTCATCATCATAATAATATGCTCAAAATATTTTACATTATTATAATGTCATATATTCTGTAAAATTGCATTTCAACACAATTGAGCAATAGCAAATCTCGAACAGACACCATACTTTCTACAAAGGATTTATGGTCGATTTCTGAGATACAAATTTTGTATAATCTTACAGTGTTGCTTTTCTATAACAATGCATTAATGCTTATGATTTTCTTGGTGACCAATACTCGACGCAATAATAATGCGTATGATTTCATATTTCACAGAGGAAAACAAAAATATTTGTTGGCCGGTTGCCGGAAAATTGTCGTAACGATGAGTTACGACAATTGTTCTTGCGCTTTGGTGAGGTGACCGAATGCGATGTGATGAATCGATATGGCTTCGTTCACATGGCACGAGAGGAGGATGCAGCTGCGGCGATCAAGGCACTCCACAATTCCAACTTCAAGGGGGCAACAATCAACGTGGAACAGTCAACTGGAAAGTCACGCGGAGGCGGAGGAGGACGCCGAGATGACAGAAGAGGTGGACCAATGAGAGGTGGTAGGGGGGGACGAGACGGTGGTAGAGACGCTCGTCCTGGACCATACAATGATAGAAGAGGTTGGTATTGTTTGTACCTCAGTTTGTATCATAAATTCCGACAAGACTATTTTCTCATTTAATTTTCTTCAAATATCTACATCGTCCCTGTATATGCATTTGCGCCACACTCTCAATATAGTCGTAATATTCAATATTATTGCCGTAATATTTTCGTTGATGTTTTGCTTTTTTTCGCTGTCCTGTACCAATGAGTGTAAAATAGCAGATTCGTCTCGCTTAAGCCTCCGGAGCCACACTTAAATCTGTAACACAATTACTGAGTGCTTCTCATTTAGTAACACAAATGTCGTTCTATCTTTGTTACTCATTGAATGCTAAAACAGATAAAAAATAATGTTTGTGTTGACTTGTATCATTAAATAGAAAGCACGGGATTGTAAGATTTATTTATGTTAAGTGAAAGGCATTAATTGATTTCAAGAAATCAAAATAATATAAGAAAAGAATGAATATATTTTAATAAGAATAATTGTAGCATAAAAAAATTAAATTGACATTTTTAATAAATAAATTTATAATTGAGTGAGTTTAACATCTATCATTAGCTTCGGAGGCTAAAAACCATCTAGCAAGCCTCTCTAGACTACGTTCAGAATCTTCATGCAAATGCACCCAGGATTCTTGTTTAATATTCGCTGAACAAGGATAAAGTGATAATACTCCGAATTTTTCCTGAACACACCCCTTCGCAACGACAGTAATCATTTGAGAAAATAGTATGTTGGAATAAAAAATGACATTAAAACCTTGACACGATGTACACTAAAAACCAATTCCTTATCTCGGCATGCTTTGCAGTTCTTCCGATCCAACTCGTTGGTTACGATGGATCTGCTGCAGGTGGCGTCGCGACCGGGTACACCGATTACAATCGCGGGGCTGGTGACTTTAGCGGCCGTGGAGCGGACTTTGGTGCCGGCTACGGCGATCGCGGAGCTTATGGTCAGAACGTGGGTGGCGCGGCGATGGGTTACACTTCGACGGCGCCGGGGATGGGCGGTGGATACGGACCAGCTGCAGGTGCTGTGGGAGGATACGGACCAACTGGCGCGGCGGACTATGGGCGAACAGCTGATTATGGTCGCGCCGACTTCGGTGCTAGAACAGACTACGGTAATCATAAGGGTGATGTTTGCAACTTTAAAAGTATGTGATTTTGTCTCAAATAACTAAGTATGTGACTTTGTATTTTGACACAGATGTGGAGTAATTGCGAGTAAATCTTTGTTATGTGAGGTGTAAAATAGAAACGGTATAATCTTAGGTATAATTTTTCATCTTCAAGATGAAAAATTATTATTTATTTGTCTAAAATTATTTGAATTTTACATTGTAATCGTTTTGAAGAATTAAATATAGGTTAAATTATATTTACACGCTCATTGATATTCTTTAGTATCTGTATTTGTCACTTGATACGCATATTTAGTCATTTATTAACTTTATAGTTGACAATATGATTTCTGTGAGACGAAAGGAATCCACAAACTTTTCAAGTGAAAACAAATAAAAAAAATCAATGTAATCGAGAATCTTAATATCTATGTTGTATAGGAGTTGGTGGAGGCATGGCCGGAGATTTTAATCGTGGCGCGCCTGGCCCAGTAGATTATGGTCGTACTGATAATTTCGGTGCCAGTCGCACAGTCGATTATACAGCGAGAAATGATTATGACCGAAGTGCGGCTGGACCGATGAGAAACGGTGGTGCCGTTGCTACTACTGGGTATGGAACTGGGTACACTGATGTGGGATATGATGAAAGCCACTGGTAACGTAGCTTTTCTAATTCTCTTTTGCTCCTTTCTCAACTCTACGAGACTGTAACTCTCGATTCTGTTGCATTTCTAATTCGATGCCGAGTTGTCTCTCAAATCAAAGTAGATTTACAAACAAGTAAATGTTACATGTTTTTAAAGGCCATTCTTTTGTTTATATTGTACAAAACATCGAATTGTAAATACTTATTCTATTTTGATTTGAGAGGATACAACATTAGTCATCTTTCAATTATAAAATTTTTTACATGAGATTTTTTAATATATAATCTTGGAAATTTTATATAATAGTAATTATATTTTATATAATAGTAATTTTATATAATAGTAACTTTATTTTTGTTTATGAGAAATATTTTTTATAATACGATAAATTTTTTATATTATTTATCTTCTTAATAGAAATTCTTTACTTAGATTTAATTAATTTTAGGACTAATTTAAGTACAGTAAAATGTAGATCATTTATTTCGATAATTTATTACGCTTCCAGTTATTAATAAATGCACAATTTAAAAATTCATGATAGA